ACCTTGGCTTTCTATTGGTTATAGAATTAAATGTAAGAGAGAACTATTGACAGGTAAATGTGGTAAGAGGGGTCTGATCATCTATTTGATGGCTCTGTAACCAAACAAAACTGAAAGCTATTTTTATAGTTTATGGTTTGTCTGAGAAATGACGATTTTATGTTAAATTTTGTACTTATTGGAGGGGTGGTGAATAAAATAGAAAAGATGGGATGCCTATAAAAAATGTCACCTTTCTTTAATAGTATTAGTGGAAAATGGAGAAAAATTTGGGCAATACTCATTCTTAAAATGTCTTATAAGTAACAATGTATTCTACTGTGTAGAAAAGCTTAATATCTTATTTGTAACATTCTACATCTTCATACATTACACAGGCAATTCATAAGTTGGTTTACTTTACCTTTATTTATACTTTTGAAATTGTGCAGTATGCAGTACATAATAAACTCATTCTTAGTTGCAATGGTTTACAGTAACATGAGAAGTAGTTGTTTCTTAGATTTTCAACCTTAAACACTTGAAAGTTGTGGATAAAACAAAATGATACTGAAAATAAAAATAAATGCATCACAATACTTCACATTACTGAATAAGCAAAAATATCCTCACAAAATTTTGTTGACAACAAGCTTTGGAATCAACATAACCTCAACTAATGGTGAGTATTAACACTAAGAAACCATTGTGATAAATTGTTTTTTACCTTGGTTTTTAATATTTTAACTTATAAAAAAAAATATTGCTTGATCCTTAACATTTTAAACAAGAACTTTCATTATGAAGTTATTGAACAGTACATTTTCCAAACATTTCTCTCAAAGACTAACACACAATCTTTCTTCACTGTCTAAATGATAAACACTGTTTAAAACATAAATTCAAACACAGACAAATTTCTTTGGAAAATCAATTTATAATGATATATCCATGAACAAGGTTAAAATACTCAAACGACACATATCAAATAAATGGAAATTTCAAAAACCATTGTTTAAATGACAAACAAAATACAATACTAAAATTCAGATGAAAGTTTAAGAGCAAAAAAGAAAAAGCCCTAAAGTGATTCAAATTTACATAATAAAATTAACAATGGCCCACTGTTAACAAAAAGTAAGATAAATGGAGTGAAAAAACAATCCCCATGGCTTGTACAATAGGTTTACCATTTTATTGTTCCGACAAGAATACAATAGGTTTGTTGTTTTTCAAAGGAACACACAAGTATAAAACACAATTTACCATTCAAATTTAATAAACTAGAAAAATAACTTTCAGTGGTAACTGTTAGAGATATTTGGTTACTCATTCTACTAATTTTTTATCACAGCAAACCTAATATAAGCAAAATTGCAGTCTAACTTTAAACAATATTTTTTTTGTATTGGAAGAAAATATCTTCCTCATTAAAAAAAAAAAAGTTATATATATAAGGCAGATAACTTTTCTGAAACAATATGATTAAAATAACTGAGACTGAGAATTCAATCATTGGTTGGAATAGATCCTTTTGGGGTTGGTATATCAATTTCAGTGTAATGTTTCAAAACATTATGACCCTTAGAAGGATAACATCTTTACATGGATAAAATGTTAGTCAGATCTGCAAATTAGAAAAACAACTCTCCTCCTATGATTACAAATATCCTTACTAAAATTGTGCATTTAAGAGTTTATCAAATACACCACTACTGTGTCAAAAATTTGAGGATATTTACAAGCTTTGAATGTACTAAATCTAAGGTCAAATTTAAGTTTTATTCCTTTTTGAGGAACTTTGCACCTGAACATCTTACTTCTCCAAGTGTAGTTATTACTTACAAGAAGTAAGCCATTAGTTTCAATGGACTGTTTGTTGTCACATTTTAGGAATACTTCTTTGGCAGCTCCTACATATATGCTATTGTGGAATAATGATTTACTTCTTATCTGAAATACTCTACTACATTAGCATCAAATTCAACTGAATGAATAATATAAGGATAAACAATAAAAAAGCTACAAAGGATCTTTCTGTAATGTATAGCTTTAGCAATGGTCCAGTTTTTGATATATATATAGTTCCTCAGTAAATAATGTATTTTTAACTTCTACTTTGTTTAATAATAATTTCATGCCAAGGCTTGGTACCATTACAACACTCCCTCTACTGTTTAGTCAAGCTGGAAATGTTCACTTATTAACTTACTAGGTAGTTTGCCAAGGCACCATTAAAATGTGGTCTGCAGTTTTCCATGGAAATCATTGCTTGAAACATTTTAACTAAATTACAAGGAACTGGATATCCTATACCGACTGCACAGCTTTATATGACTGCCTGTTGTAAAAACACTGACACAAACTCAAGTATAAAATAAAAAGTATCATGTAGATGTGAATAAGTACTTTTATAAGGAATGTTACTATGTTTGGATAATTTGTTTTTACTTTTTGTATGCTTATAAATAATTACTATATTGCCAATTCCCAGAATACCTTAATGTGAGACTAGTGAGTAATGATAACCTACGGATAACAATTAGTATTTATATAACAAACTTGTAAGTAAGAGAAAGAGATAAGCTGGCAGTATATGCAGAAGGAGGAGTATTGATAATTATTAAAATTTTATAAACAAAAAATGTTTATGCTAAGTTTACGACCAATAAAATAGCTGATGGTGTAGTTCCTTGTAAAGGATTCTGGTAGAAGTATTTTTATGATGCTGTAAGGTGTGGATTTAATTCCTTGTTTTCTTAACTACTCGACAAAAATGTGAAAAAAGTTGGTATAAATTTTATACTGAAAAAAAAAGTAAATGGTTGAAGCACACTACCTAATATGTGAAGATAAGTCACATGTTAGAGATGCACTGTACAGTATATGAGAAAAACAACATGGATACTAGTGTGGATGTGAAACTGTCATTCATGGGATGTGGTAGTTTGAAGTACATGGGACTCTGTTCAACTTTTGTATGAATATTAACCATCTACCTAAAAATCTCTAGAACACACTAGACCTATTCCAATTCAAACCAAGTTATGCATATGCAAACATGAAGGATGATTCTTTCTAGACTGAAAATGTGAGAATACAAGATACATTTTATAATGATTACTGGAAGTCAATAAAGGTTAGCACCTTTAAGAAGTAATCTATTTATGAATACACTTAGACTATATAAATACCAATGCAACTCTCTGGGCACATCTAAGTAATTTTGAGGTGATTTTTTTTCCCATTTCATAATAAAATATTTAACATCTTATCCAACTTTTCCTTAACAACCATAAAAAATAAAAAGTTTTGATATAAAAACAAGACACGATGAATGTGAATTTTAAGGACATTTTAATTATCTGATACTGGCCATTGAAACTGGTTAACCTTTTTAGATACATGGGCCTGATCAAGGCTTTCAGCTCCAATCCTCATAAGATATTTGATGTAACATTAAAAATACATTGTTTCGTTGCACTTTTATTAAAATTTAATATAAGTATATTGTTACATCACAGTTTTTTTTTTCTAATATAAACTGTAGTTGAAATTTCACAATTTTATAAATACACAACTTTACAAAACATCTGACACATTACGTGCCTCAAAACTTGTCCTATTTAGCACAAGAGAATGATTTCACATCTGTACAGAGAAGAAATGCAATTTGCTTTTTCATTAAAAAAGTATTTTTTTTATTAACATACCTCAAGAAGATAAGACACCCAGTAATCAATTCTTCAAAATTTCCATTTAACAAACTATTTATGCATATCTTATCCACCAAAAAAAATTCCTTTCTGTTTCTTATTTCTTTCACAGTGTCCTCCAAGAATGTTGACTTTTCACCAAAATCAGCTACAGAGAGAAGTTGGGAATCAACAACTCACAAGAGCAATGTAACTGGATTAAAAATGTTTCTTTCATGAAACAGTAAGATTTTATGTAGTGAATTCATTGGGTTTATGAAAAACTAATTCTTTAAGTCTTTGACAAAGTTTTATTTTATTTGGTATTGCCATTTTGCTTCATTTCCATTTTTCTGTTGATCTATAGATTATTAATCTTGGAGTAATGTGTGTAGTGAAATATAACATTTGCTGTTTGTTACCAGGATTTACTTTATGTTCTTTGTGAGAAATAGAAATGACTGGTAGCTAGAATTGAACTCACTGTGACATACACCAATGTAATCCTGTTCTGTTTTTCCATGTTTTCTATTGTTAATTAAAAAGCCTCACAATACGATTAAGTTTTTCGAACCAGGAAGAGAGAGAAAGAAAAAAAACTTTCTCAATTGCAGAAGTCTGATAAATATGTGGTTGTCAAAAAATTAATGTAGCATTTTGGTACACTTTCATTAACCACCCCTCAAAAAACATACGTCACATATAATAGTTAAAAGAACCACTTAAACCTCATGTTAGTTGTAGCCTATAGTATACTTTAACCCCTTATAATAATGACACACGATGAGTCACACATTCAGCATATAATGCTGTTTGAATACAAGAAAGGAAACCATGCCTCTGTAGCCACAACGAATATCAAAGAAGTTTATGGAAATGTTTTGAACGTTTGTAAGTGTCAAAGATAGTTCAGCAAATTTCGTTCAGATGACTTTAACCTTAACAACTGTGATGGCAGGGCAGACAAATTGATATTGATTCTAACCCAAGGCACCACACTCGTGAAATGGCCCTGAAATTGCATGTCTCTCAGGAAACAAAACGTAAATATCTAACAAATATGAGAAAACTCCTTAAAGTAGGTGTTTGGGTGCCTCTCAAATTGATCATCATTTCCAATGGGTGAACATTGCTTCATCTCTTCTGGCACATAAACATTTTTTGGACAGAATTCTCACCAGTGAAGAAAAATGGATACTCTGCAAATATTAAATACCAAAAACAATGGCTCAGTCCTAGACAAAATTCACTTCTGACTCCCAAACCTGGACTCCATCTGCAGAAAGTGATGCTTTGCATTTGGTGGGACATCAAAGGAATAATTCATTTCAAACTCCTCAATCCACAGCAAACTGTCAATAACTGGAACATTTAAATCAAGCCCTTAATCAGAAACGCCCCTCGCTCGTCAATAGGAAAGATGTTCTTCTTCTCCACGACACAAGATTATGGAGTTGGATTGGAAAGTTCTCCCCCACCCACCATATTCTCCAGCTATGGCACCATTAGATTACCACCTTTTTCAATTGCTACAACACCATCTTAATGGGAAAACGTATGTAAATGTGGAAGGTGGTAAAGAGGTCATGTTTTTTACTTCAAAACCTGACTGTAAGTTGGAAAAGCACCATTAATAAATGTTTTCTTTTGATATATATATAAGTTGTTCAGGTTTTTTCATCTAAAAAAAAAGCGACATTCATTTCTTGAAGACCTAATAAGTTAATATATTGCTACAATTTAATCAAATATTCATTTCTTTCATAATACTATAACAACATGGATAGTTAAAAATTTACATTATTTTATCTAGTCCAAACAAGACAAGTTTGGTTTTTCTTATAATAAGAATGACATCCAAATTTACTGTCTACAGCAAAAACCACTTACATAACTAGCTTTCCTAAATAAAATACTTCTTACCCACAATATTTATATGAGGTCCAAACACTGTGTTCTGGAATCAATGTAACATCTCATGACTTATCCTGGAATGAAACATCACATAAATCATTATACTTAAGCTCAAGATACTTTGTCCAACATCATCTTTTTTTTTGTGTGACAATTTTTTATTAAAATCCACAGTCTTGTAGTAGTAACTAAAATTATGTTACACACGAGTTTGATGCATTATCTAGTTCTATGTTCTTCACTGCTGCACTTTGTCTGTTAGGCACCTCTGCTATGCTTGAACACAAAACTGTTAATACATTTTAAAGAATATCTAATAGAAACCAAATAGTCATTACAGCATATTCCTTAAAAAAATACATTATCAACTTTTTTTCTTCATGAAAACTTTTCTGCACATGATTTCTTGGACAACTGTGATACTTGTGTAATGTATCTGCTGATTAGATATAGCAAATTCATCATAATGTAAATAGAATTCCATTATCCTATCAAGCTTAATTCTTGTGAAAAAATTCCAACTAAACCAGATATACAATGGTCGTATCATTTATGCATTTTGAAATTCTTAGTGTGCTTGAATCAAGTTTCCTTCAAATTTTTACATTTAAATGAAACATTTAAGGAAGTCCATAATGAGAAAGGGTAGTACCCTTATAAACATTCTGGAGTTTCTGCTTCCTTTTGATGATCTACTTTTTGCAGGTATCAACAAAATTTATATACTACACCTCTCCACAGATATGGTTTCACTACATCTATGCTGCTTATTGGCTAAACAAGCACATAAGTACTAATATTCTTTACACACAGTCACAACCTCATTCTTCACGTGTATTAGCAATTAAAAGTGCTAAAAACGTACAGAATTTCTGTAAAACTATATAACAAAACATAACTTTCAAGTGTTGATGTACTGATTAACATTACTTAAGTCTCATTATATGTTACTTGCTTAGCATAGTTTCAACAAGAAAAATGGAACAGGCAATTGCTTTAATGAAAAGATCTGTAAGTACGTAAAATTTTAATTATCATTTTCAACATTATTTGTTTCAATGAGTTTCCCCACTGAAAAGAGGCTAAACTGTTTTCATATATAATTAATTACCCTTCTCAGTTTTCTGCAAAAAATTATGTTACTCAGACAACAGTGGGGTGAAAAATAACTGGCTACTGGATCTGTAAAAAGTTTTATTTCCCACAACTATCAGTACAATCTGAATAACCATATGCTCACCAGTATAATATCAATTTAATAATACTTTAATTATTTAAAAACATTTTGAAAATCAAAATCTATAAATGATAGGGTTACATTATGTACGTTATTTTATTTATTTTGACTGATTACAAAGAAAAAAATTGTTTTTCCATCTTTGAAAAAAAACAACTAAATCTATAATTTGTTTTTATTTTATTTTAAAAACAGTCTTCCAAATTAGTCAATTTATTCACTGAACTTCTTTTTTTGGAAAGAAAATGTTAGAAAGTAGGAAAATAAATGTTGAAAAGCAAATAGTTTTTCTGTAACTCTATCACATGCACAAATCAAGCATTGATTATTCCTATAACAGAAGAAAGACTTTTCCAAAGTCTTTGAAAGGATTGACATACAACTATGCTAACAATCTAATTAGAAATGTTTATATATATATCTGTAAACACAAACAAAAAGAAAAAACAATTTTTCAGGTTTTACTTTCAGTACAGTACCTCAAATAGAGAAATATTTCTGAGACACACGAACTGTATGTAGTCTGAACCTTTAGTTAACGATATAAAAATATGCTAGTTTTTAAATATCAAAATTTTGTTTTCCCTTTCAGATATTTGAGGCATCTTAATACAAGCTGACAGTGTGCTTGGTTTGCTATAAGACAAGCTGAAAAGTTACTTTGCAACATGAAAAGCTTTTTCAGGCTCCAGATTAAATTTGAAAGACATAATTCTCAAACACAAGTCATCAGCCCTGAAAACAGTTCTTTCATATTTTATATGGCTTTCCAGGTACTTTAACTTCAATATCATAGTAGTGTGTGGTAACTGCCATTATTAAGCTAATTTTTATATTCATTGTACAGTATAAAATGTCGTGAGCACATACTACTAATATTGGATGTTCGCAATGTAATTATGATTATAATTAATGAATTATTTAATTCTAATTGTTTTTTGAATACACCTTTGGGTTAGAATGAAATTAATTGGATTGTTCAATTACCTCTAAAATGCCTGTTGTACACTGATTTTATTTCACTGCAAAAACAAATTACTAGATGACATAGTTTGAAACTTCAGATAAACTTTCTATAAATTATTTAGTTTCTGCAAGTATCATATTTTTATATGACATATTTGTGTGAATCTGCAGAAAATTCAAAATGAGATTTCATTGTAATGTTTTTTTTGACACAATTAAAACTGAGTTACCTTTGTTGAAAATTTCAATTACTGGTTTTTATGTCTTCCTACATTCTTGTAAAACTTTCCTATAAAGATTTTTTATATTTCCCTAAACTAAAATTGATCTTTTTTTGAATTAAAATTCACCTCATTCCATATTTTATACAATAAAAATACTGAGAACCAATAAAACCCTTTTCCCAAAATTACAAGCAAGCTTTTTTTCTGAATTGTTAATCAGGTTTCATTTAATATATATATACAAGATTTAATCATGTTTTATATTAATTTATATCTACTTTTGTACCCTTCTTTTTGGTAGTTTTCTTTACCCATTCCAGCAGTTACTTGACCAATAAAGCTTGATGCAAATGTGGCTTTGTCAGTAAAAAAGAAATTTGATACAACCAAGTGCAAAATGATCTAAGCCTACTTCATGTTATTACATGAAAAATAACTTCATAATTTAAAGGAAGTATATAATGATAAATTTGTTTTAAAAAAGAAAAAGTCAAGACTTTAATAGTGATGGAAGTTGTCTTCACAAATGTATTACCACGCTAAGCTTTTATCACTTTGTCCTCATCTCTATATGAATTTCCGTTGAATTGGAAGCCACACTTGTACAGTTGAACAGAACAGATAAAGAGCTTTCACTAGATATTTATATCACTAACCTAAAAATTATAAAAGCTGAGATATAAACAACTACATCACATTAAAACTACACTTTTATTGAAGTTACAAGTTTCATTAGTTCTATTTTGTTCAAACTGTGAGTTCAATATTATTTGGGGGGAAAATTCGGGAAATTAGCAAACACTAATGTTTTCATTTAGAGCATGCTGAAGTCAACCTGAAATGCCAAAATATAAACAATGAAAAAGGAAGTGGAAAACAGAGATAGATCATAAAGAAAAATTTATATATCTATATATTAAAAGGCAGAAAGATAACAGTCTGAACAAGAAAGATTCAAAGAACTGGATTTGAGGATGAAAGAGTAGAGCAGACTAATCCTATATAAATAGAGGACCTTCTTTCTTCTCAGCGGGGTACTACTTTGCCCTCAACTAAAGGCTTTGGTTATTATAGTAATGTTTTTGTATCTGCAAAGCCAAAAATGGGTGGTAGCATAAACAGGTAGGAGGAATACCATTTTCTGTTCCTGTAGTAGAAAATTCTTGAGGGAGCATCCTAATAAAAAATTATGAGTGGTCATACTGCAGCAGCTGTAGCCCCTTTTCATTCATGTCTAAAAATACCAGTGAGTTACAAAAGTAGCCAATGGAAGTGTCTTGCATAAAAAAAATATTTTGTGGATTAAAAGTGTAGTCAGCCTGAGCAAAAAACATCCAGGAGAAGACCCTTATGTTTTACTGAGAATAACAAGTGCAGTCCATCTAGTCAGAAATAATCCAGTGGAAGCACCTTGCATAAAATTTGCATTACTTGATCAACAAGTGCGGGCTACCCAGGCAAAAAACATCTGGGAGAAGCACCTTGGATTGAGCATATTATGATATCGTATAATGTGAAATATAAAGACAATAGCCCTCTTCTCATAGAGTGGGTATATATGACAATGAAGTTTGTTTATCATACAAATCCCAATCCAAATGAAACCTCCATGGTCCACCACTTCAGCAACTGAGAACCATAAGTGGAAAGGACTCCCGTGTTCCACTAGAAGAAAAGGGGGGAGGGAATACATGTTGGGGAGTCTGGAGAAATGACACACGGGAGACAGTGCAATGAGTGTCTGCAATTCCCTATTTTTAAAAAACAGGGATGGGCAAATATCTCCATCTGCTTTACTCATGAAGTCCGTGAGTGATGGTCCTTTATATATGACTCATTGATAAGGAAAAAAATCGATACAGATATATACACACCACTGGATAAGCGGCCAGTAGTCTTACAGAAACACCCCATCTCCATAGTGAGCATTATAGAAGTATACAGATTTAGTGCCAAGATATAATATTCAACATACCTGACCAGGCAACACCTGCCACTAGGTGGGATTCTGATGTATAACAATAAATTAAAGTAAAAAAGAATAATATGTTGACTTACCCCAGGTAAAGACAAACAGACATGTGTAGAATCACCACAAGAGGAAGACACAGCTATGTTGTAGAGATAAAAAGTGAGAAGTGGATTGGGAGTTGTCCACATACCAGCCTGAATGATGTCCTCCAAAAGACAGAAGTTGCAAGCAGCTAAAGACATAGTTAGATGACATATTTGGTATGAAGAAACATGATGTAGATGGCGACTGATGTACACGTCAGAATAAAGCAGCTGGATGAGTTGACGAACCCAACCAGTAAGTGTACTGGGAATATGACATGACAGAACAGTCATGTCATGGTCAAGTACATGAGATCCAGAGTCTGAAAACACAGACATCTGAACATGGTTCTTCCTCATTATAGCTGATGAATGTGGAATTGTCAGAATGAATCCGAACCACCACCCCTGCAGGAACAGGAGGAAATGATACAGAGCCCGAAGAACTGTGAAAGGTTCCAGCATGTGGAAACAGAGAGTAGCCTTCACAACAGACTACCAACCCAAATACTCCAGGGAAGTCAAGGAAAGTCCACCAAGGAAGCATCTGTAAACAGATGAGACTTGGTATGAGGTGGAGGAAAGGGAATCC